CTCTGAAGTTTTTCAAGTAAAGTGCTGACGTCCTGTCCGCTGTAGGTCTCCATCTTCTAAAGAGTATTAGATATTATGCATGTTCGGGTCGCTTCAGCTTGTATTAAGGCTACTTCTGGTTAGTCCACTGGCAATTATTGTACGGAAGTTTTGAGGCTTTGCGGCACACGCTGTTTCTCGGCTCTTCTTTACACCCTGAACCATAAGGTTTAAAATCGGCAATTGTGTAGTTCTTTCTTCCTTCTACTCTGCCAGTTATGTCGTTATATATATATATATATATATATATATATATATATATTCGATCCTAGTAAAGTACCACATTGTAGAGTAAACTGTAATGAAGAGGTCGACACTTATCATATTTTATGGCAACCATACTGGATAGTCTTGTCAATGGTTGATTGTGCCCTAGTTTCTTCTTACTTCTAGATTTTTTGACGTCTCTTACCAGATAGGTTTTAGGGGAGTTAGAATTTTTTTTTTTTGCGAGTTTATTTGAGAATTATCAGCACTTTGTTTCAGCCAAGTCTTTTATTTTTTATTTATTTTTAATTTTACAGGCGATATACCATTTGTCGGGGATGCGCTTATTTTCGTGCTTCTTATCTACTGGTAAAGGTTCCTTTAAGAGGTAAGACGTGAGTGCAATCACGTTTTTTAATGGGTTGACTCTTGAGGAAATAATTGAAGATGCCCATTGACAAGTATGAATGTCAGAACTGTTGAATATCTGAGCTGTTCCAAATTACTTTACTGTTTAAGACGGTTAGCGAAGCTTATTAAGTGCTCATCATTATCAGCGTTACTTAGACGATTAACGCAAATCATTGTTTTTGAAAATACAGTCTTGAATTGTGGTGCATCTGTTCAGGTTAAGAGGGAAGCTTCGAACTTTCCAAACGTCTGGTAAGTTCATTTGAGAGCGTGACGGTCAGAGTAATCCCTGTATTGATATTTCTTAGTCATTTGCAGTAAAGGGATTTGGAGTGGTTTTTCTCAATGGAATTGAGCTATGTGCTTGTGCTTTATAAAGTGCTGTAATTTACTTGAAGTTGTATTAAAAATGTGATATAGAAAATTTATTAAAGCGTAAGTGGGACATCAAACAGCACTAGTCATATAGTTAACAGTTGTGAACGGATAAATCCTCCACATCAAAAACATTATGAAAAAAAATTTACTCAAAAGTTTTTACTATATTACTTCAGGCTCTTTACTTAGGATTCTTTAATTGGCTGAAGTGTTTTTAATTTTTATGAGAAAACAGTTTTGAAGACTTGTAGAGCTGTTTGGGTGTGGAAGGGGAAACAGACAAATATAACGGAAACAATTATAAATATAACATTACGTCGTTGATTGTACCACGTTGATAAGGTCATATATTTGAAAATTTAATCGAGATCTTTTTGAAGGCGAAAGTTTTTAAGCTTTGGGGCTTACGGTAGATTCTGCAGTATTTACGGGTGTGGTTGTTTCAGAAGTCTCCAAAATTTTGGGTTCTTTCTTTCCGGAAGAGGTACTGATGCGATCTTTCTTATCAGGTTTTTCTACATTCGCTTTATTGTCTTCGTCTGCTTTATCGGTCTTCGTATCTTTTTCCAATGTTTCTTTATTCTTTGTAGTTCCTAAAACAATTTTTTTTTCAGAAACTCTCTCTAATAGTAATATCTTTCAATCATCATGAACCTTTGTTGTTGATTCTTCGGCTGAAAATTTGTCGCATATTTTTTTATCTCACTTGTTGAAAGAATTTGCGTCACGTTGGCTGCAGATAATAGCTCGTTGCTTACCTTTCTTCGTCTTATCGGCTTCTGTTTTATTTGTGGATTCACTTTCGCTTTTTTCTTCACTCGTTTCCGGTTTTTCAGTTACAAAAGCTTCTGTTTCCATTAGTTCCTTAATTTCGCCAGTGTTTTCAGTGTTTTTTTCCACTCCCGTAGTCAGCTTACTTTCTTCCTTTTCCGATTTTACTTTGTCATTGCTCTTTGGTTTAGTCGGAGTTGCTTCAGTCGTCATTTGTGAAGATGAAGTTGTCTCATTTACTACGGTTTCCATTTTATTTTCGTTTCCATCTCTTGTAGAGTCTTTGTCCATTTTTAATCTATCATCTGCAGATTCCGAAGGGTTTTCTATATTACCCTTCTCTTCCGCCTTTGAATGCTTGTTTTCTTGCGGTGCTTTCAAAGTGGTCGTCTCTGTATTACCGACTGTAGTCGTTTCGTGATTATTTTCACTTTTGTTCGTTTCAACTTCTTTCTCTTCCTTACTTTTCTTGCCTTCTTCTTCTTTTGTCACTGAGTTATCTTCATCATTGCCGTCAGTCGCTGATTCAGGACTTTTCAATGTGGCCACAACTTCACCATCGGCAGACGCTGCAATTTTTGCTACATCAATGGCGTCGTGCTTTTGCAATTTGGTTGCATTCTCGTCAGAACTCTTCTCAATTTCATCCCTCGTAGCTGTTCCTGTTGGGTCGACGTTATCTTTTTTGTCACTTTTTATGTTTTTCGATTCTTGTTTTGTATCGTCGGTTTCAGTTATTTGATTTTTCTCGCTCTCCTTATCCTTCTTTTTATCAGCTACTGGAACATTTTCTTCTTCTCCAGTCTTTTTCTTGTTTTCTAAAAAACCTACTGTAGATTTTGAGATGAATGTATTTTGGACTGTGCAGCGAAGCGTAGGGTAAGATAAAGTTCAATTACTGCGTGTTTATAAGACAAGATTTCTTTGATATAGGTTTTTGAAATAGGAACGAATGGCATGATGTAGCCAATTTGGAAAATTGGCTCAAAGTGGGATGCTGTAATATCTAATACAGAATGATCTGAGACAGCTTATCTAATTTCACTTTTAGTTTTTTAGAGATTTAAAGTAATTTCAAAAGAGATTTATACCTTTAACACTGGTTTCGTCTGCTGTTTTCTGAGACGTTGGAGTTACAGCATCACTAGATCTCTCAGTTTCAGTTACTGCAGTTGTTTCGTCCTTCTTCCCTTCTTTAATTGTAGCGGCTAATTCAGGTTCTCTACCAGTTGATTCGGCACTTTTCACATCCTTATCTTTCTCCTTCTCTTCGATAGATACAACATGAGCTTCTATTTTTTCTTGTTTGCTTTCTACTGCAGGTTCTGATTCATCTTTTGCCCCCCCGTCACCTGACATTGCCTGTTCGGTCGTTGGTATTTTTGTTGATGGTTGTTCTTCGTTGTTTTCGCTTGCTTTCGTTGAGCCATCAGTGGTTGGTGAAGTTGATGTCATTTGCCTTCTAGTTTCTTCATTGAATTCTTCTTTGTCAGTATCTCTAACATTTGGTTGGTCTTTTGAGTCGGGAGTTTTTTCCACTTCAATTTTCTCTTTGGTAACTTTTGCCTCTAAATTGCTGTTCCTAAGTTCTTTGCTTTCTATATCATCAGCGGTAGCTGAGTCTTGCTCTTTCTTGCCCGCAGAAGCAACATTCTCTCTATTTGATTCTCTTCCTTCAGTAGATGCCGAGGCCGGATTTTCAGTTGTCTTTTGCAAGAGCTTATCACCCGCATCTTTGATCTCCTGGAAAACTGCAGAAAATAGATCTTCAGATATGTATAAGCGGCGCGTCATTTGGTGAAAATTTACAGTTACTCAAAACTAGTATGGACTTATTTTTTATCATATTTGAGTGTACGTAGGAGATATAAGTTTTGGTGTTTATTTTAAAATTAGTTATTTTGTTTCAGGGTTTTGCGAATTTACGTAGTTCTTCAAAGAAAAAAAAAGTGTAAGATTTGAAATTTTCTTCAATTGAGTTGATTGGATAATTGATTACTGGAACTGAACTGCATTTTGACGCAAAACTAAGAATATTGAAGATTTTTTGTTGATAAGAATTTTTTACATTAGTTTTCAAGAAATTAGCTTTATCAGTGCAAAATTTTTTGTTTTACGTTTATTTACTAGGTGTATTTAGAGTATATTTTGAATAAACGAGAAACTTTGACGGCAGTTTTGAAGTCAAAGCTGATTTCGTACTGCCGTTATTAGTCTTGGAAACTTATAATGAGAAATATCTGGCAAAAAAACTTATTTTACTCATTGGTAGCTGTTGCACCACAATTTTAGGAACGAGCTTTTTCAGAGCGACAGGCTAGTGTTATGCAGTTCCGTTTGGAAAAAAGGACACTTTTTCACAGCTTTGATTCAGCGTTAGTAGAATTTTTAGCGGTTACGAATCAGCTTGTGTCTATTTTAGCAAACCTACCTTTGTTGCCTCAAAAGATACTTGTTTTTCTTCAGTACCATCTTGTAATCGGCGAGTTGGTGCTGTTCTGATGTGGCGGGTGTGAATAGCGCTGCTTTCTGCAAATTAGGAATGATTAGATTGATTTCGTGAGTTGCGAATTCTAAATTGTTTTGCTTCTCTTAGTCTTCAGATGAGCTCTTTAACTAAATGTTGATGTCTGTTTGAGTCACACTGTAGTTTTTATTGCTAAAGAATGTTTACCATTTATAGTGAATGATAACACTAATAATACTACTACAATGCATAAATTGATTAGAATCCTCATTGTCGCTAGGTTGTTAGCAGTAGGATACGCCTGTCAAACTGTTAGGAATACACGCAACCTGTAAAAAGCAGTTTTAATTCATATTCAATTTCAAAAGTTATACTGATCATTCAACAGTATCGTGCAGTATATTATATTTTATCAAAGCCAACTCTTCGTCAACCGTATAATCAACGAAAAATAAGAAAATCAGTACACCGGGAAAGAAGTGTCTTAAACTAAGTTTTTTTTGATGGACATTGTGTGATAAGTAGAAAAAAACTTTTTGGAAAGCTAGTGGCGCAGCCGAACGGTAAATTTCGGAATGAGTCCTTTAAATGGCTTAATTTTTCTTTGACATTTTAATATTAACACAGATTCTTAATTAGGTCAGAAGTTGTCGGTGATGAAGCGTGATTGTAATAAAGATAGCAGTTAATAGAGGAGGATGGGAAAAGGGGTTGATAGACGAATCGCAGTTTTTCTGTTCGGTTATTGAATCTGAAACAGTTCACAGCAAATGGTGTCAGTATACGGGAGTGAAAGAGTTAAGTAAATTCTGATTAGATAATTCATCTGGTAATTTAGATTAAATTTACTGAAAGCTCTTAACAATTTGTTGTCGTTTTTATTCCTTTATTTATTTGTGTTGATATAGTCGGTGTAAGTTCACCTGAAAGTTGAATGACCGTCACCTAATGGTCGCCCTTTCCTTAGGACCGCAAGACATCGGCGATAATCTGTTGCTGTATAATAATAATTGCATAATGTGCCAAAAAAAGTTTTTCTCCGGCAATTTCCCCAACTGAGGCAATTTATATATATGATTTGAAAAGATTT